AGCCCTGTGATTTCAGCTGGCTGATGCAAGTGCTGTGAGTGTACATCTGCAGCAGATTGAAGTTGGTCCTGTAGCTGAAGCAAGGCTCTTTGCTGTTTTGTCAATTGAATATAGAGTACATTGTTTAAAAAAAAATTGTTTCCTCTGCAAGGGGTGGCAGGATGGAGGCTGGGGGTGTTTTCCCTTGGGAGTGTGCACAAGCACGATTGCCCAAAGTCCCACTAGCAAGTTCATCATCACAGCTACTGTGGAGCTGAAGTTCAAGGGAGCGTGGAGTGATTCATTCCACCTGGCAACATATCCAGTGAGTAAAGAGAAATATTTCCTGTACCTAATCCAGACAGCAGTTAGGCATCAGTCTGTCTGAATGTGAGCAGACATACAAATGGCAAATGCGTGGAGGAATAGAATAAACTGGGAAAAAATGAGAATGTATTTTTCACTCAGAGGTTAACACATTTGCCCTGAACACAATCCCAAAACCTAATGAATCAGAAAGTGTAATTGTTACATAGACTAATTTCAAAACAGTACTACTCATTAAAGATTAAGGGAGAGAAAAGGAACATGAGGTTCAGACCTTTTATTGAAATTTTGTCGTACTAGGTCCTCATTGGTAATTTTTTATGGGTCACATTTATTCAGCTCTTCATTCACAGCCTTCTGTCAAGGCTCTCTAATATGTACCAAGTACAAGCTTCATTAACTGAATTATCTTTCAGCTCTGCTTTATCTGTGGTTACCAAGCCACTGTTTCTCAATGATATTTTAATGTTAGACAGCAAGTTAAAAAAAAACCACAAAAAACCCAACATAAGAGAAGCTTGATTTCTGTCAGTGTTTTTTGCATTCAAATTTCCAAAGTTTCCTTACATTTGAATACAGACATGTCAGATACACTTTGGATACTCATTAGAGAAAATTAGGCTTATGGGGCGTTCTTTTAAGTTCTGGCTATGTTGACTTCCACAGTTGCCAGTCTGTTATCTAGAAATCTTGAACTTTATCTCTGGGATGCTCTTTCATTAGCACCTGGTATCTAAGACTGGGACTGGTGTCTAAGACTCCTTTGCTATTGACAAGTCTCTTCTGTTCTCCCTTCAAGGCACAAATCAACCTTTAAACTGTTTTTCTTGACTCTGAGACTATTAGAAATTTGGATTGGTGGAGGAGAGGTGTTTTACAAGGTGTTTGTTTTATTCCTTGGTATTTTGTTAGCTCAGCTGATCCCTCTGAGTAGCGTATGTCAGGTTTTTCATTCTAACAAGACAGGGAATAAGTAGAGAGGGAATGATAAAGTCTGTCTTTCTAGAACCAAAGACGAAAATTGCAAGAAGGAAAACGTTGAAAATTCTCTCTTTTGGAATAAACAAAGATAACTTACAGATAGTCAGTCACATTTGGCTATCTTATACTTGGTTAAGAGAGGTCTTGGGGAATCTTGTACAATTTGTGCACTGGCCATGATGTCCTACTCTTCTATAAAGTCTTCTGAATTCCTGTGGTGCTGTTAACCAAATAAAGGCTTGCTGGTAGATGTAGAGAGCTGTATTAGACTTCCCCTGTATCCCACCTACATGGTGGAATCTGTAAAAATTCAATTCTGTAAAAATTCAGTTTTGTATAATAGACAGCAGATGATCCGAGCATCTTCCTGCTGTCTAAGATGTACACACATACCTGATGTAAGAGAGCCATTGCAGCCAGCCTTAAGTTCTCCTTCCTGTAGGGAAATATAGCCACACAGTTTGTATCCCTCAGACATTGTGAGTTTAGTTAATAATCATAGAATCACAGGTTTGGGTTGGAAGGAACTTTAAAGACCCTTTAGTTCCAACCCCTTGCCATGGGAAGGAACATCTTTTACTAGACTGGATTGCTCAAAGCCCCATCCAGCCTGTCCTTGAATATTTCCAGCAGTGGAACATCATCTGCAGCTTCTCCGAGCTTACTCAGGGGGCAGTTGAAATTTTGGGAAATCAAGAAAGATTGGTTTGTTTGTTTGTTTGTTTTTGTTGGCTTTCGTGATCTGTTGCAAATCCCATAGGAGTTTTGGTCACAGCAAAGGGTAAGAACTTTAACAGGTTTTTTTTTGCATCAAGAAAATCCTGCACAGCTGCAGTAATTTTCAGTAGGAAGATTTCCTGGCTTGTGCTTTTGTCTATACTTTATTTCTAATGTTCCCTTAATTTGAGAAGAAGACAATAAAAAAAAGTATCATAAGGCAAGGGAAATAATTACTAGTTCTAGTCAAGGTGTATTAAATTCCACAGTGCTCAGACATGACATAAGTGTTCATAATTTGTATATGAATGAAATAAAAAAACATTCTGGAAGGAAAAGCTACCTAAATGTCAGGAGAAACTTAATACAAGCAATAAAATCCTGTGAAAAATCACATAGACCAGAGTAAGATAGATGTGCTGTCTTTACTTAGCAAAGAAATCACGAAGGATATGAAAATAGAGAATGAAAATAACACATTCTTACTTGATTCGAAAGCATTATCCATAATAGCATCTGCAATGTGTCCGTAATAATATGGTGTAAATTGGAATTTACATAACAGATCTTTGAAAACAGGCTCTGACTCACAATGTGAAAATGGTGCCTCCAGATGGAAAAGTCAACCAATAACAGGAGAACTTTGCAGAAGGCCTATTGCTTATTCCAAGATCCACCCATTTAGCCCCTTGTAGATAACAGAGTATTCATCTCAGGCATGAGCTATGCTGAAAACTTGAATAGCTGGTCTTGGAAACTTCTGGTATGTTTCTCCTGAATAGACATGTTATTTTCTCTGGGCTGAATTAAGTTCTTATTAATGGTTATAGATTGACAGTCCTAAAAGTTGGAAACCCTCTATTTGTGTTCATCTCTCTCAGCTGGATTTAATACACTGTTCCTATCTTGATTCCTGTCTGTTGAGTAGGAGAAGAGTCATTAATTTAAGTAAACCAGGAGTAGAATTCCTTCACTGTTGTTTTTATTGCCTCAATGAACAGGACTTCAACTAAACAACAGTACCCAGTAATATCCAGTCCAAGAATGGTTGGACACTTTGAATCACATGGTGCTGCAGAGCTGAGGTCAGACCTGGCTTAGTTCTGATATTTCTTATCTATATAGTCCATGCTCATTGCTCTTCCCTTTCATTTGCTGGCTGATGTGAAGTCAGCGGCCAGTTATTGGCATTATAGGCTTTTTAAAACTTGGTTGAGCTTTGCTAAGTCAGATTTTTTAATATTTCCTTAGATTCCCATGAAAAGTTTGTCTGCCCAAATGTAGATGACCAGCATAGACCTCTTTTTGAACTTGTTTTCATACCGACCAGTAGGTATGTGTCTGACCTTTCTGGGGGTTTAGGGTAAAATAGATTGGGACCCTACAACCACTCAGTTCTCCCTGTGGAATATATACCCGCCAGAGGTAAATATATGTTCAGTCAGAATAATGGCACCCCTGTAGTTAGCATGTATTTTTTTGCTAGACCACCTCAAGCACCATAAGGTTCTGGTAAAACCAGCCATAGTTAATGATGAGGCAGTGTGAGTCAACACAGGGTGAGGAGAGGTAGGATGGTTGTCTCTCATATCTCCATGTTTTAGCTAATGTGTTCAACTATATGAGAAGCTGCAGAGATACTGTGAATACTTTTTCTGTTCCTCTCCTAAATCCGGGTCCTAATTCAAATTTCAAAAGTATCGTTAAATGCTGATACCATTCATCGTAATTTACAACTACATACAGTTCATTCAGTTCTGAGGCCTCTAATTAGAGAATAAATGGGTGTTAGTTACTCATGATACAGAAGTCTGGTAAATATGAGATTGATAGGATAGACATTCTTTTCAGATAAGGCATCACAAAAGTATTGTGTATTACAGAGTCACAGAAGGGTCAGGTTGGAAGGGACCACAGTGGTGATCTGGGCCAACCTGCCTGCTCCAGCCAGCCATCCCAGAGCACATGGCACAGGATTGTGTCCAGTCAGTTCTCAAATATCTCCAGAGAGGGAGACTGCACAACTTTTCTGAGCAATCTGTTCTACTACACAGTATTAATGACTTTTGAGCATGAACCCACTAAAAGCAGAGAGATATATGTGTCCTGTTTCTCAATATGGAGTGTGCTGAACTGTAAATCTCCCTCTAGTTCATCAAATACTTTATTTTTCTTCATTTCCAAAAAAAAAAAAAAAAAGAAGAAAATGCTTTACGGCTAGCTAAAAAAAGTCAAAATACAGATATAATTAACACTAGATTCATATTTCCTAGATGTTTGTCGTCCTCAGTCTGCCTTCCTCAGTCTCTTGGCTAAGAAATATTTTGAGTTTTACTCCAAGTAGCCATATCACTGATCTTTACATCTTTCTTCACTGCATGTTGTTTCATTTTCCTGACACCTCAGATTTTATGCCACATGCATTTTTTACTCAGTTTGAGTACATTTCTAACAGTACAAACTATTGGATTTTGTTAAACTGTATAACCCTGACATGCTTTTATGGCTTTCCCTAAACCCAGTCTATGATTAAATGTATTCTCAGTCTTTTTGTTGACTTAACTATTGAAAGATCTTGGGCAAAACGGGCAGAACAAACTTATCTGGGAGCTGTATATCCATCATTAAGTGGCTCTAACATGTTATTTATCCAGACTGGTTGTATTTTTCATCCTTTATCACAAATCAGTGCCACAGGTAGATTGCAGTTTGCAACCTGCAGTTGTTCATCGGAGTTAACTTGACTGTCAGGACAGCCTTTCTGCAGTGCTTTAAACTTGCATAACTTTTGTGCACAAGACTGGACTGTTTTTCTAGCTGGCTCAGGGATCAATGCTGTCTCATTAGAACATATGGAACAAGGCTGTGTTACCCTTTTGAGTTTCATTTAGGATGTGTGGCACCCCAGCCTTCTTTTAGAAGTGTCTGCACATAAATGAACACAGTATGGAACTACTCAAATCATGAACCTTAAAAGTATTTTACTTATGTTTTAGATCATCCTCCAAATATTCAAAATCACTCAAGACTTCGAACTCCTCCACCTCCAATATCACATGCTCACACCCCAAATCAGCATCATGCAGCCTCCATCAATTCCCTGAACAGAGGGAACTTCACTCCACGCAGCAACCCCAGCCCAGCTCCTACGGACCACTCTCTCTCTGGAGAACAACCAGCCACTACTCAAGAGCCAGCCCATGCTCAGGACAACTGGTTACTCAACAGTAACATCCCATTGGAGACAAGGTAGGTCACTTTCTTTAGTACTTGCAATGTGCTGAATGTGTGTGCCCAGGGTGCTATGGAAAATACATCTGCATAGCCAGCCACCTAGTTTGTGAACTGGTGTTTGACTTATGCATTTTGTGTTGTATTTATTATTCCTTGTGTCTTTTGATTTGGACTAAGAGAAAAGGAAATAGCTCTTCTTTCATAAACTAAAAATGTTGTCTTTAACAGCTGCTCATAAGGTTATTTTCCTCATTTAAAATTGGAATCAGGATCATAGATTAAAATGTTCTTGGTTTGCTTTCTTTTATTTTCCTTTAATGCCTTTTCTTCCTATGTGGTAGGATAAATCAATATCCTATTTAGAAAACTGAAATCAGTCAGTATATTGAAAAGATTTAGCCTTGTAGCTGCGCCTCATCAAGCAGTACTTTTCGTAGTACATAATTCAGGAAAGGTTGATCTTGTTCCAGCTAATGAGGAGAGGTCAGCTGCTGCCTTTTTCAACATTGCTTCAGCAAGCATGAAACACTGGATAGCCCAGAATCAGTCATTTAATGGTGTTTCCATTTAGCTCTCAAATTATTTTCCACCTATGCAACACCTGAAGGGTGTACCAAGTTGTTTTAGCTCTTAGCTTTTTTCAGGGTCTGTGTAGGTTCTGGAAAAGAGAGCTCCCACACTCCCTCAGTCCTCCTATCTGATGGTGAGTGCATCTTCTTGGGGTCCCAGTTGCTTTCTCCAGGGGTTTTGCTTCACCATTTCCATTGCTACCTAGCAGCCACTGGGGATGCTGGAGACATTAGCTCCCATACATGGTGTCTTTTTCAGTCTCCAGAGAAGTCTTCCAAGCCTAAAACACGGTGCACTTGCTCAACTGTCTTTGTTCCTTCATTTGTTTAATCTTCTCAAATCAACAAGATTTTAGAGAGCACAAATCATACAATAACTGAAAACTGAGACAGGGCCCAAATTTATCACATCATTGCCTGCAGGAATCTCACTGAGAGCAGCAGCAGCTGTAGCTGTATCATAGGAGAAATTGTACCCAGTTTTGCCAACTTCTGCTAAGAGAAAGTTTTTTTAAAAATTAGCACATCTATCAATCTTTTTGAGACTGAACTATATCTGCTGGCCCCCAGAAACTTCCCAAACAACCTCAATATCACATTTTGTGCCATTTAAAGATAATTAATTTCTCTGTGACTGCTTGATTAAAAAGACTCAACTAAGAAGCTGGATCCAAAAGATTAAGACAAAATTATAAGCAAGTAATACAAGTGTGATTTGGCAACAGTTTCAGTAATTATATTGTGTTAGTAATTCTCAAGCACAATACCAAAGCAATGAGTTTTATGTGATAATTCTTATTGAAATTGCATTAAAAAATACTTAGGCCCCACTCCTGCAGCTCTTTCGTGATAATCTTCTATACTTCTGAAAGAAGCCCTGTGTCTTTTTCTAGCCAGGTGGTGAATTCTTTATAGAAGAGATAATACACTGTTTTAGTAGTGCAAAACTTTAGGGCTGTCCTCATTTCTTCTCTGTGAAACCATGGTGGATGAAAATCGTTCAAGATCTGAAGCAGATTGCTCTTCTTGCAGGTTGGATTGGTCACATTGCTGTTAATCAGACTGGCAGTTGGAGGTCTACCTGCATGGAGAGCTCTTTCTGCACCATTTGATGATTTTACTCTAGGATCACAGCTCAGTCACATTTGTACTTGGTCCTCAATCTAACAATTTTATTAATCTGGTAGAAAACAGGTCGCTTCAAAACTGATGGTGAAGCTTTTGACACACTGCTTGAAATGGCATAATTTCACCCAGTGTTCCTTTTGACAACAAGCATATTGGAAAATATGTAATTTTGTGCCAACAGCAAATGAGCACTGCTGACTGTTCCTTCACTTACCCAGCATTAAGACAATATAATGTGTTATAATGGTATCAATAAAGAGAGAAGGCTGAGCTGCATAGATGATCAGTATATCTGTGACTCTCCACTCTGACAGTCAGCTCTTCTGGCACACAGAGGTCTTCCTTTTCCTTCAGTGGGATTTGTGTAGGTATAAAAGATCAGGCTTCAGAGCTGTTTAGCAAACTTGGATGCCCAATTCACCTTCTTCCATAAGAGTGATTTTCCCCGTCTTCTCCACTGCAAAGATTTTTAGAACCAAAAAAACAACAATCACCTAAGAGAATAAAATGTCCAATATGTAGAAATGTAAATCCTGGCCAAGAGACATTAATCCAACAGTAAAGGCTTTTGAAGTTAGGCGATTATAGTAATCTCATGTTGAAAATGGAATTGTATTTCCGTTGTTTTTTTTTTAATCCCGTATTAGTCAAAAGAGAGAGAACACAAGAAAAAAAAGCTGCATATTTTAAACGAGGATTGTCACAGGCTGTGAACTGTGCCTGCAGTTACAGAATTTAACCAGTGTTTGAAGTGGCTTGATTTTGACTGCCATAGACTCCAGGCAGTTTTCAGAACTGGAAATTCAGACTGGTTTGTCACTGCCTGGAAATTTCCAAACAATAATGGTTGCAAGGGCAAGCAGAGATGTGTAGCACGAATATACAATTGACAGGAAAGGCATATCTGAGAATTTTGTGTGTTGCAAGAGGAAGAGCCCCTCCTCTTCTCTCTCTCCTTTTCATTAGTTTCCCTTTATTCCCTCTTCTCTGTTTCTCCTTTCTCCTCTTTCTTTTCCTGTCTGCTCCCTTTTTTGTTGCTTTAAAAGCCATGTATTAATAAGGTTGTGATGAGAAGATCTTTGCTCAGCAGTCACTCCTGGCAGGTGAGTTCCCCCCCGTATTTATTCCTCAGTCTTCTTTCTTCTGTGGCCTCCTTTCAGTTCCTTTACACTTGACCTTGTAGGAGCAAATAAATGCCAAGTAGAGGACGTTTAGTTGCCTAACCAACAGTTTTCAGGAGACTTCCATTCCCAGGAAATTTCATGTGGTAATCATGTAAGGTCAGTTTTCTGCTACCAGTACTGCTAATGAGAAAGGAGAGTGTTTTGTAACTAGCCAGCGATTTACAGGTAATCTCCAAGGGAGCAGACTCTGTAAGCCTTCGGAGAGGAGGACAGGCACGCATCAGTCCCTCAGGTGACCCAGCGACCTCTCTGTTACAATTGCATACATTATGAGATTATGTAACCCTCCCCTCTTCTCTTTTATTGACAATCCACAGCTGAAATTCATGGAACCAATTTGACATGGATTTTAACTAACGATGAACTTTTATTGATTGGTGTGTTGCCAGGTGCCTTGCCTCTTACCCATTAAATGCTCAGTGCATGCACATATGCTGCTTCTTTTTGCATTGAACTCAACATCTAATCTTTCCTGCATTCCCAGGGAATGTGAGGAAACCACAAACACTTGGGGATGGATTGATGTCTCAAGTGCTATGGCACACAGCTCATGCATGTTGATCCACTTTACTCCAAAGCTATGAATAGGAGTCACTTCACTTTCATTCAGATCAAGGAGTAGATATGTTCTGTCAAAGCAGCCCAAAGGCCTCCAAAAGCAGGGAGTTGAGCTAAACAAATGTTGGCATTAGCAGCAGGAAGAGGAGGAAGTAGAAATGAAAATTAGATTTGAGAATATTTTGGAAGAAATGGTATCAAGGTTTGTATAATGTCACAGGGCTGGTTTCTCTTGGTTTGGCATGTTACCTGAATACACTTTCTTTGACAGGCATTCTTGTTTGAGTTCATGTCACACCCTCTAGGCTCTTAATCCTGCATAAGTGATAAAGTGTCACAATGCTGTTATGTTTCCTTTACTAGTTTTTGCCAGGGGATTTATTCACATTCAGGCTTAGATTCCGTTTTGATGCTGAAAACAGACATGGGCAAAATGAGGACTGCATTTTGTTTTAAAAAACATGTGAGGAATGTTCTTTTGCCAGGTCTTGAGAAACAAGCCCAAAGGTGAGAAAGACACAGTTTGTTCCCAGCTGTGCCTCTGAGTTAATTCTTTATGTTCCTGCTGTTCTCCTCAAAAAGTATGAAACAGTTTAGCATTTACAGGTCAAAATGTGGCTCATAAAAGAACATTCCGGGAGGACAAATACTGCAAAGTGCCACTGCTATGTGCAGGGTCAGTCCCAGGCATTTGCATGTGCAGGTCCTAAGTATGTTGCTTATTGCCTGTATTATCCAGATTGTAGCAAATACTCTGGTGCTGGAATTTGGGTTACAGCTTAATCTGTTTCTGGCTTCTATCTGCTTATCACCAAGAGACCTTTATTTGGAATACTCATATTGAGCAAGATTTACATTTGAAAAATTTACATTTTACTCTACATAGTGAGTTATTATTCCACACAGGAAAATAAATTAATCAAATTGGAAACCTTAAAAATTCTCAAATCCAAAACTGAAACTAAGGTAAAGGAGTGGCAGATTTTTGCTGGAAATCCATAAGAAAGTTAGATGCAAGAGTGCTACCAAGGTTCTGGCCACCGTGGGATATAGATCCTGTGCTGTGTCTTTTCAGAGTTACGGTAACACAGATGCAGGAGTATTACCAGATTACAGTTAGGCTGGTTTGAAATCTGGTCCTTTGGATCAGGGAGTTCAGAAGGTTTCATGTGTCACTGGCAATAAATAATGTGCAATGAACAAAGACATCAAATTTTTTGATACATGCACAGGGGCATGTGTGCTTATATGTGTGTATATGCATATATATTGTGTATATATAAAAAAGTGAACATTTTTAAAAGCTATATATGTATATGTGTAGCATCTTATACATATAAATATATGGTCCATCATTCTAATTCCATGCACAACTGCACTATAACCATTGTGGTTTATAAGATCACACTTCATATATGCATGACTCACTGGCTTCATTCATGTTTCCATATGTATGTAGAAACATAGCAAAGCAGACATTCCTAGAGACATTGCAGGACAACCTCATTGAGATGGACATTCTCACCTCCTCCCGACATGATGGTGCTTACAATGACGGGTATGTGACACTTACGTGGTCTTCCTGTTTACTGTACAGTCATTATGATCCTTGCATGAAAGCATTTGGTCATATCAGTGATTTTTAAGGGCAACACCATTGCTGACCTCTTCCAATATGGCTTTAAAAATGGATTTCTGGGGCTTGGAGCATTGTGTCCTGTACATATTAATGGAAAACTCATTAATATGTGAGTGAGCCGCTGCATGCCATTTGCTTTTTATCCCCTTATTGCTTTGAAAGTAATTTCATTTGTAGGAGGTACCTACAGCAATTTCAACTCCCATATTAACTAAAATTATTTAATTTTCATAAAAATCTGAAACCTTTATTGTGCTGACAGCCTGATACTTCCTTGTCAAACTGATGTCTTCCACATACCTTATCTGACAAGTGTCTGCAAGTGGTGTATGTAAGCCAAGCGTTGGAGTTTGACTTAACCACCCATTCTGGCATCTTTGCACAAATTTTGATCGCTTAACTTTTAAGTTATAATGTATGTCAAACTTGATACTTGGTGCCAAAACTGTTGAATCTTGTGTTGGCAGCTCACAATTTGGTAGCCATCATTCACACAAGAGCTTATTGGTGTACTTGAACACTGCAGGTGCCTCTTTTCTCAGAACAGATACATCTCTATCTAAATACTTTTCAAAAACGGGATAGTATCTGACTTACTGTAATTTTTTTTTTAATGTAGATCATTAGTAGAAATGAAGGATCTTTCTCTAATGCTCAGCACTCATGTTTAGAGTACCAATAGAAACACGTCTGTAGTATTACAGGCACCTATTTTGGATAATCATGTGTTACATTTATTTTACTGCATGAATTGGTGGCTTTTCTGCACTGTGATATTTCTGCATGTGACGTTTCCCCTGTGACTGCACAAGTAACGTCATGGGGAAAATAGTCACCTCTTCATCTGGTATTATCTGATTGCATTCACTCTGGCTGCAAAATCTGGCCCCATAAGCCATGGCAGAATGTGAAAAGGGCATTGGGGCTGTTTCTCAGTCCTTCAAGCTGCATTTTTGTTTTACAGAAGCATGGTAGTAGATTAGTCCACTCCATTTCCCAGTTTTCATTCCCCGAATCTGAATGCCTTTTACAGCATGCTGTCCCACCAAAATCAGGTTTTTCATTTAGTATTCCTGTGTACAGAAGTCCCCTTGGGACATTTCATTCCAGAAACTCATGGGCTTCAGTGTGTTCTTTTTGTGCTGACTTCCATGAGTCTCACCCGAGGTGCTCATGGGCTGGCTCTCAGGCTGTGTTTTTCATAATGGGCAAAATACAGTGCTTCCCAATGTGTCACTGGACAGGAAATGCTGTTGCCTTTGACAGTAATTCACACTTTTTTAAAGATAGGCTTCAATCCAAGGTGCTCTGGACTGCTTTGTGGAAGCAGGTGCCTCTCCCCACTGGCAATACACAGGACTTTGATGCTTTTAGCCACACTATTGTCTGACACTTAAATTTACTGGATGGGGACAGTGTGAATATTCCCCTCTGTGACAGTTTGGGTGCTATGGAATGGCTTAAGCTCTTTTTTCCCATCTCCATTCACCAATGCTACACAAAAAACGCTCTCATGCAGTGATCAATAAATTGATAAATGCCCTCCCTTCTTTAATCTGACCTCTGCTCCTCTTCAGCCTCCGTAGGGCATTTCCGTGGGAGTGCGAGCAGGCTCCCAGTTCTGCCCGTGCCACCAGTCTGTCGTAGCTGTGCTTGGGGTTTTCATCTCACTCTAACGCCAGCTCTTCCACAGAGGGGACTCCTGCCTTTGAAGAGCTCTCTGTGGCATTGTTGGCACTGTGATTCTTTGGTTTTGTTTTCTTTTACTCTGTGTGACTTGCCTTTGATTTTTATTCTTCTCTTTTATGCATGCCGTCCATGTCCGTAGCCAGCATTGTGTGGAGCTGCTTCCTTCGTCCTGGCAGCAGTCGCCATTCTCCCACCCCACGCCTCCCTGAGCATCGATTTGTGTGAGGAGTCACTTGCTGTTGGTCTTTCTTCCCTCAGGCACTTCCTGTTCAAACCTGGAGGCACTTCTCCCCTTTTTTGTACAACATCGCCGGGATATCCCCTGACGTCCAGCACTGTGTACTCACCTCCCCCTAGGCCCCTTCCCAGAAGTACCTTTTCTAGGCCTGCCTTTAACCTGAAGAAACCCTATAAGTACTGTAACTGGAAATGTGCTGCTCTGAGTGCCATTGTCATCTCTGTCACGCTGGTGATCCTGCTGGCCTATTTCATAGGTAAGCTTGTTGCTGCTTGTTTTTCTTCTTTTTATTTCATTTCTCTACAAACCCTCCCATACTGCTAATGTTTGAAAAACAGAGAGTGAAGACTTTGGTACAAAGTGATGGGGAAATAAGGCATCTATTGACTTGTTTGTGTTGCGGTGTTGTGGTAGGAAGCTTAACACCTGTCATAAAGCCAGAAGGGCTTAGTAAAATATGAGTCATATGAGGGAGTTGTATTCCCTTCAATATCATGGACTGTTTACATTCTGCAGAGGAAAGTGTACCTGGAGTGAGTCAAAGCCTCCAGGTTTTTGTAAGCATCCTATTAAAACAGGTGGTGATGTCCCAATCCCAGTCACATCTAGGTCTGTCAGTGTTGACTTTGATGGGACAGGGTTAGAACTAAGATCCTGATACACAAAAATGTGGTTTAATTCTGTCATTTGTTGGCACACCCATTTCAGGGATGTGCAACTAATTACATTGGAGTTCACAGGGTGACCAGGAGGATGGAGAAGGACTGAGTTGAGATTGTGGTTCAGCAGAACTTTTTTAGAGTAGGTGGTGCTGGTGAAATTTGCATCTTGGGTGGAAAAGCAGTGGATTTTTCTTGAACTGTGCGTGATCTGAATTTCTTTGGTTTATGAGGCTTGTCAGTGTTCATTGCGAAAAAGCATTCTTAGTGTGTGTTGCAAAAGTAATTGAGCTGCTAGAAGGGAAAACTGTATTTTTAAGCCTGTAAAGTTGAAATGTTACCATTATTTTTTCTTCAGTTCTGTTTGATATGTGTGTTATAAATGTCTTTAAAAAGTCCATTCCTAGACTTCTATGTTAAACTGTCCGTGGTGCAAACTCCAGTTGTCAGACACTTTTAGATGTGATCATGGGTAAAAAAAGCCCATTTCTCATGGCACAAATGAGTCTTTTTGATTTTGCTGTGACTTCCTGTACACTAATGATCTAATACAAAAGGTCGTGGTTAGAATTACAAACCTTAGTCTGGATCGAAAGATTTTGCTTTCATTTTACATGAATATAATTAGCACCACCACAAAGGATTGCTTTTACTGTGTTCCTTTAATATACACTTCTTTAATGACTGATAATTTCCACTTCTGCCTTGCCTCATACTCTGGTCACTTTTATGTCTCCTGTAAGAGGAACAGGAATGATTAATTAACCAACACTAAATCAGCAGCAGTTTGATGAAATATGCAGTCAGTTTTCATCATTTGCTATGTACGTTTGGAATCGCCTTTCTCATTTGTCTGGTATTCTCCTTATGTCCTGAACATGGTTCCTTTGGACATTATCTCTGTGTGTCAGAGGAGAATCATTTCAGCTCAGCATAGCAGTGCCAGTTAATTCTGGAGGAGGAGGTGTGTGCTGGTTGATAGATGGAGAGGAGTTTGGTTTGCCACTCTCCAGCTCAGAGCCCTTTCTCAGAGTTCATGGAAGATCACACTCCTGCTTAAAACCACAGTTAATGTTGTTAAAAGGAAGGTCCACTGAGTCCACTCCCATCCTTTTTATCCTCTCCATTCAGGTGAATTTGCTGGCATTTGCCAGACACCACAGATGGCTGGAAATGTGCCAGAAATGCTGAGCAGGTTGAACCACTGTAATTAAGGGTCATAATTACTAATTTCTAAAGGAACTACCAATTATTAAAAATCAAATCCAATAGATCAGTTCAGCATAAACATATTTAGCAAAGATTGTCTCTACCAGACCCAATGTTCTAAGCAACGAGAAAAAGGCAGATATTTAATTAGATTTTGATGAAAAATTGTGTTTAATTTCAAGTATAATCAATTATTAATTACTGTAATGAGTGACTCTGGCGGGGTTTACTAATTAACTCATTTAAAAATTATGAATAACCTTTTCATTTGTAATTATTTTTTACATCCTGTCAAGTTGCAGATGAGAATTGTGTCACCTAACCCAAAAGAAAAGAAATGAATGAGGGAGTCAAAATGTTTGTACTTTCACTAAGTTAAACTGAGACATTTTGCATTTGGATATGAGCTATGTAATTCTTAACAGGAACTTATTTATAATTCTAAGTAAACCGGTCTGTTTAAAGACAAATTACTGTTTTTCCTCTGATTTGGGGTTCCCCCCTCAATATTCGTGTGGTTCCATTTTCTTACAGATACCTTTTCTCATGTAGGCAGTACCTTGCTCTTTTCAGTGCCATGGGGACAGTCTGAGTGGTAAGGTATAACTTAGTCATGAGTATAAGGTCTAATCTGTATAACAGTCTATGAGAGTTGGGAACTTGACTGCTCTCCATCTGCTCTTGTCAGTTAAAACAACCACAGAAGTTACCTTTTAATGACCATTTTCATCCTCCAGAGGAAACTGAGGTCATTGAAAAGGATCCCATTTAAGTGAATGGACTTTAGATTGGGTCCCATGGCAGCAGCTTGACATTTAATCTGGATTTTGTACACTGGTCGGATAATAGAAATACTTCAGAGTGGTATCTAGGCCTTCAGGATGTTCCTCACAGCATCAGGCATGTCACAGTCCTCTGTTTAAATATTAAAAACTGCAGGCCTTACCTGTCTGTGGAAGTATGGAGCTAAAGACATACAGAAGAGACTCTGCTATGGGCAGTATTTTGTGTGACAGACACTCAGACACAGTTGTGGTGGGTGCCCATCTGAGGCAGGCAGAGCTGCATGGAAACAGCAGGGCACTGGTCATTTCTGTCATTGGTCAAGTTTTTTGCTGAAGCCAGTTCCTTTTTGAAATTCGCCTGGAGAACTTGCTAAATCATTTGTTTGAGGCTAAAAGGCAGAGTTTCTATTATTTCATGTGAGTCTTTATGTCATTTAGCAGTCTGAGGTTCATTTATCCTGCTGGGCTGTTTCAAAATGAGGAGAGGAGACATAAATAGATGTCCATGGCAGCAGAATGGCTGCTGTCATGTGTCAGCACTGTGATCAAGCAGGGCTGAGTCACTGGTCTGGAGAGATAATGACAAACAAAATATAACAGAGTGTATTAAACACCAAAAGCTGGTTTTCATTTGAATTAACCAGCTTTTGATTGACTTGTTTCCCCCTTTTCAAGTAGTCAGACACCACACTAAGGCACTGGCGACAGTGGCCATCAGTGTTTTGCACACACACAGCTTACACAAATCCCATAAGCACCACAGAAGCTTGTCTCATGGGGTGAGAGCACCAAGGAGAAAAGCAGAGGCACATCAGGGCTGCAACATTCAAGTGATGGAAACATTGAAATCAAAGGCCTCTTTGAGCAGCTCAGAACTGCCCTGGAAATTTGCTATTCAAGGAGTTCCTGAAGAGACATGACTTTAAAATTGAATTCTCCATTTTTGGAATGTCCATTCAATAGACAGCTAGATAAGAAAAAATTTTATGGCTTTTGCTAGGATTTGGTGGGGTCTGTATAGCATTGAGTTCTGCCTTGGAGGGCTAGTTTCTAGAACCATTCTAATGGCAGAGAGAATCCCACGAGGTGTGTTGCTATGCTAATACTCTGCCAGCGGTTCCTGTACCTTGTAGATGCCAGACCTGCTAGCAGAGCATTGTAAAGAGTCTCTGACATTGCTGTACTGCTTGGGGGGAAGTTTAGAAACAGAAAATACCTGTTTGATTGTCCAGATCTCCATGCCCAGCAGCTGTTTGGCTAGGTCTGTGGAACAGTTTCTGAATTAATTAGCGATGGAGAATAGTTTCTGCCTGTTTAAACAGAAGTTATTATCCTCTGCCTGATGTAGATTCCAGACTAGATGGAAGTACAATTTGATGTTGTTAGGCACTTGCAATTTTCCTATACTTAAGCATGTGCTGCGGTTGCATTGCATGAACAGCAAGAAAGATGGGCATTTGATTTAGATTAAAGCTAGGGCTGGAAAATATATTATGAAGCCAAAACAATCCTTCCTTTTTTATTGGAGACAGAGCTCTCTACTTTTCAGCTCTGTGTTCATTTGAACTCTGTACAGATGCAGCTTCACTTGAAGAACAGTGTTGCTTGCTGCAGGCAAAATGCTTTGACAGTAAAAGTGTGCTAGGCCTGTGATGTGTTTTATAAAGTGTCTTTCTTTTTATTTTCTAAGAATCACCCCAAAAGCTAACTTTAGCTCAGTTTGTCTATGATTCTTTGATGCTATGGAGCAAACCAAATTTAAAGCAGCTCTCCAAAGCTCCTAGAAATCTAATTAGTTAGCAATGGATGCATAGTGTATCAATTACATGGTAAGAGATCAATAGGAAAAGTTGCTAATGCTTAATTATTAACTTGATCCATATCTACTAATCCTACATTTATACCTTGATATTAAAGTTTTTATTCACGTTAAAATATAAAACAATATATTACCCTGCCAACAGGCTGCTTTCACTTTCTGCTTTAATACTCCTTTTCTCATCCCAGATTAAGTTCTATTTTGCTACTGTTGACATTTGTTCCTTTGATTTACAAGGACTGTAAATCAAAATCTTTGAATGTTTTCTATTTCCATCCTGTCTTTGAAAAAAAGACAGAAATGGCAGCTAAACAATCTGTTCTAGCAAAGCCTTTATGTTATGAAGTCAATCTGTTACCTCAAACAGGGCTTTGAGGTCCTTTCTTGGTTCTTTCACATCTTCACAAAATCACTGTGGTCTGTTCACTCAGTAGCTGCAAACTCATTTATTTAATTTTACCCTTAATCAATAAAAATGTCAGATCCAGTCTAAAGGGTGCTTTAGTATTACCAGCGATTTATTTTGTGTATTATAAATGTTTGTGAAACAGCATTCCAGGACACTGGTTGAGAGGGGACCATCATCATGAGACAGCACTACCATTTTTTCCTATATAGCAATACTTGAATATATGGGTTTTGTTTTTTTCTGTTAAAGGTGGCTCTTACTGTACCAAATGCAGACAAACGTTGGTGGGGTGAGAGGGTTAGTGCCACTCCCTCACTAAGGAGGACAGTTTAGGTGACATCTAGTTCTTCCTTTCATACCCTGACATTTAGGAAA